GAGTCTAATAGTTTGCAGTTTGAATCTTACTTTGTACAAAACTCTATCTTAGGTGAGCTCGGCGTTCTATTTTTCTGTCACTTTTTGCCGTATCTCGTTTGCTTGTCTGCTATAACCAGTTTCGCTAGTAGATCTAATTAATGAACGAACAGGAATGTGGTTAAGAGCCCTTCCGACTCTAATTTGATCATATTCGTTTTGTGCGACTCCGCCTTTTGTTATTTGGTATTGCGACATGGTCTCCAGAATGGGCGATTAATGGTTATGAACAACAAATCAATTTTATTAACTGAAACAGCATTCACCAGGAAATAGAGGCAAATGTTAATTCACTGGCAAACAATAAGTCTCGCATACTTTACTCAGACGAGTACATATCAATATCGTTGTCATCATCACCATGATCTTCATATATGCTGCTTGCATCAGGGTCTACAGTAAAAAGAACGCATCACCCAAAAGAAAATATAATAAAACTTCTATAGTGACGCATGAAACCCTGTAATTTTCAGGAACTCAAATTTAGCGATTACCTAAAATCACACTGCGGCGAAACTCAGTAGTTGTAAAATATAACCCACCGAATAATGGATACTGACGCACTAATTACGTGTAACATTTTCAATATGATTCTCGTATAACACCACGCAAAAGATAGACGAGAGGACGAACGAATTTGACCAAGATAGATTTCTATGTTTATTCCAAATACACGCAACTTGATTTCACTACGTAATATAGATTTATCCGCTCACATTGCCTAGCGACTCTGGTACTTTCGCCGTAACCGCCGCACTTGTAGGTACGTCAGTGATCTATGTTCAAGTTTCTGAGACCCGGTTTATACAACAGGTCACCCTAGGCTACGGCACTGCGGAGCTCGCGAGCGTTTCTCTAATATAATGAAGCTACAATGTCAGGTCAGATTATTAGTGGTCGAATGAAAACCATCTAATTCGTGTTTTATACAACGCCATACCTTCCACTCACAGACCGTGATTTCACCTAACATAACGCAACAGTAAACGCATATGTCTGACGAAGGTGGGATTCCGATTAGCGTGAATCACACTATGCAAATCAGTAACATCTGAGTTTAACAGGACCGGGGAATCGACCCCACGCAAAACATAATATCGTGTTACGAAAAGGAACTACTGACGAAAATGTATCCATTAGTGTAATTATTATTATTAATTGCGGCTCCTTTCCACCGCCTTTTCGAGTGGGATATCACAGCCCTGGAGACAACTAGGTAGGACACAACTGTTTGGGGGAGCATTAGTTTAATCTTCATCTTTGATATCCCTTTCGTACGGATTCAGATGAATTTTTGGGCCTCAAAACAAAAAGATCAACGGAAACCTACTTGATGTCGATAATTTTCCCAACCGTTGGTACCAGCGACAAGGACAACCCAATTTTTTGACGGATTATTGTTAAATATCGATGACCAGTTGTGGATACCGACGGCTTTCAAACACGCAACGTGGTCGATGCAGAACAAGAACGCAATAAGAAGCGAGCAACGACGCATCATAGTGAGGAGTACTTGAAACTTCATGCGCCTGGGATTTTATACTGTGCGTCTTCTGTAAATCGAACTTTGCCTTAAAAATACTTGGCGATAATATGAAAAAAGCTATCCACCAAAAATCGTATAGGTCTTCGGTACAAAGATTATGCCAATCAGGGTGTGATAGGCCATTTTGAGCAGCTTGTTAAATGACTGATCATTTGTGCAAACGTATTCAAACAATGTGTGCACATTGGTGATTTGTGGTGTTTTCTGGTACTTCGTTGAGTGCTCTTGCGCTTCAGGCAGTAATGAGCAGCAACCTAATTCAATACAATTGTTTCCACGTATCTGCTGGCCTAATGAGTACCTTTTAAAATCCTTTGGTTCACGGGGATACAAGTGCGGCTTTTTGTATTAAAGCGTCATAGTGAAAACGTGTATCGTGGCTGGAACTGTCTCAACTTCTTCACAATTTCAGTGACAGGATGAAGGCATTTGCTTCGGAGTAATTTGTCACAAGATGCCAAATGACGAGTTACAGACTATTGGACAGGAAGGCAAACGTCTCATATGCATCTCAGTTAAAAAAACTAAACATCCATCTTCACCTAAACTCGTCATGCTGAACGTTCCTGGATAGTCTTTGATTGTTTATCAAGTCCAAGCAAATGGGACAATTCGAGTCCACAAATTCCGCAATGATCCCCCTTTAAAAGCCTGCTACTCACATGCAACCCCCAACAGTAGTATCACCGTTACACACCTTCACACTTTGAAGGTCGTTCGCATGCCATCGATTTTCATTTACCTCCTTCAGGTCGGCTTCTGCAGCTGTGCCACCGGAAAGGGACCCGTGAAGTTCACGGACCACATCTCGCCTCATTTTGGGACAGCAATAGGTTCCATGGGGTGGATTGCACATTCCATCATTTTGCATCGCTTACAGGACACCACATAATCCATCACCGCACTTCTCAGCCCGAGCCTGTAGGCCCTGTGCCACAGTATATGCCATACCATGGCTATCGACGATAAGGTTCCGTCTCAGGACGCTAGGTATCACGGGTAGCACAACATCCGTATCAGTGGCGTTCCGGCTTCATTCGGACTCACCCAGTAGAAGTGAATTTCAAGCCTTCCCAATTCTTTGTTTCCCTCTTTGTTCTCAATGCTCCTTTCATCTAACGAAGCGGTTGCAAAACTTCGTAAAACAGGATCGTGCCGTTGAAGTTGCACCAACCTTCCGGGATCTAGTTCGATGACGAGGCCATTGGCTCCAACCATGAACCTGGGGACCTCATCTTCAACGTCTGATCTTGACAGCCAATCAGCCAAGTAGTTCTCCTTCCCTGGCGTGTGCTGCAATATGATGTGTTAATCTTGCAGTCGGAGTGCCCAGCACGCGAGCTTTTTTCCGAGATCTCCGGTGGTCCTCATCCACCTCAAATGATTGAGGTCGGTTGCGACATGAAATCTTTGCTCAAGCAGATATGAGCTCCATTTATCCATGGCCCAGACGATCGCTAAACTGTCTTTCTCAATGGTCGAGTTCTTCTGCTCAGCGTTAGTAAGGACACGGCTGGTATATTCCATAACTCGATTCCTTTGCTTTATTACTGCGCCGACACCGCGATCACTTGCGTCCATTGCAATAGTGAAAATCTCTCCCTCCCCGGGCAGTTTGACGGTCAGTTGCTGGTCCAACATCCGCGCTTTGACACGCTCAGAAGCCACTCCGGTTCATTCAAATTTCCGATTTTTACTCGAGCAAGTCGTACATTTGGAGGGATAGTGCTGAAATCGTTAACAAACCGACCGTAGTAGACTGCTTGTCCAACAAACTGCCGTAGAGACCACTTTGAACTGGGAACAGCATAATTTTTTTTATCTTTGCCAACTTATTTCGCAATGGGCTAACTTCTCCATGACCCAATATATGACCCAGGGGTGTCAACGAACTTCGCACTAGCTGTGTCTTGGCTTCATTTATCCGCAAACCAGCCTCACGGCAGCGCTTGGATAACCGTCAAGCTTGATTGTGTCACCAGGGCGATCGGCCACCTTGTCGAACTCTGCTGCAAGAACTTCCCTCGCGGGAGCCCAGTCCATCTTCCAAGAACCTCTTCTGGCCACATCCATTGCCGCCTTCATCCGGCCCTTGAGGAGGACCTTCAGCGCAGTACACTTACTCCGGCCGGTCTCTAGTCCGGCGGCCTCGGCGACCTCATCAAATTGCTTCAGGATGGTTCCAACATCTCCATCCTCAAAGGGTTGTGGTAATGGAATCTCGATCCTCATTATGGTCACGGCACCAACTGAAAAAGAGAATGCCTTCCTTGCGGAGTCATTTAATACAAAATGTCAACTGACCAGTTACAGACTATTGGACACGAAGTCAAACCACTCATATGCCACTTACTTAGAAAAACTAAACATCCATCTTCACCTAAACGCATCGTGCTGAATTTTTCTGGATATCCATTAAGTTTTGCTCAAGTCCAAGCAAATGGGACAAACCGAGTCCACAAATTCCGCAAAAATCTCCCTTGTCAAGCGAATTTGCAGAAAGAGAACATATAACTCTCATACCTGCCCTATTTGTAGTATCAACGTTTCATCAGCTACCCATGAGTATATCAGAGGAAGTATGGTTTTATAAGATGACTGAAATTTCCTTGTGATAAGTCGTCACTCGAGAAGCCTGTCAAAAATATGAAACTATATGATTTGGTTTCTGTGATTGAAGGACGATTGGCGCTATGTCCAGTCTAACTGAGAGCTAATCGCACTAGTGATCAGCATTTCGTGGCACAACGCTTACCTGGTTGTTCAGGAGGCGAATTAAGGAACGACAACCAGACTGATCTAGTGGAGGGTTTCCTCTAGTAAAATGCAACAGATTACTAAGAACACATCTTTGGAGGTTTTCGCATCCGTACTAAGAAGATTAGAATAAAAAGGTTCCTATGAAAGCTTCGGCAAATCCTATACCCCGGCATGTATAACACCTCCTGATTCGATACACCATACCGTCGAGCATGAGCTGGATGTCGGAGTTCGCATCTTCCGGATTACAGCAGTCGCTTTACTCAAAAAGACCTCCAAGGGATTACACGATCTGCTGAATGTTTACATATATATAAGATTATGCGGGGTAGATCTCTTCAGTAGGTAACGGGTGCCAATGGTGTGTCACTGAACCCGATACTCAACGGTTGAACGACTAATGGCTCACCCGTCTACATCCACCGGCAACGACTGAGAAACTGCATTCTCCACGAGAAAACCAGCGCAACCATTGACTCGTTGCATGGATATTATGTCAAAGTGGAGGAGACTGCCACGGAATATTATTCAAAAGAACCACCGAATATATGAAACCCAAGTGACTTCTTGACTGGCCGCCAGATATTCTAGCTAGAAGTTTGTGCATTATTGAGTCTTTGGGTATCCGGACCCGCCGTAAGATGGAATTCTTACTTTAGCCTCGGCAGATATTGCGATACCCTTTCTGCTCAGCTGTGTTGTTCTGGTGTTGTCGACACACATAAGTTAGGATTAAAACTTATTTCAGTGTTTACTCGATGGATATAAGTGGAACATATTTCGTAAATGTACTCTATTTTCGGAAATGATCAAATAACCAAAAATCCACGATCTCGTTTGAAGAACCGTACTAAATATAAACCCCTCCTGCCGAAACTGATAGCTAGTGCGTCGCCCAATTTGGACACATTTATCCAAGGACCCAAGGGAATGAAGAATGACAGGAGTGATCATCCAGATAGTTAGTATACATCCGTTTTACTAGCATTGGCATAGGGAGCATTATCACCATGGAAAGCCAATACCCACCGGAAACTTTGCAATCCAACTTTTGGCTTGACTGACCGATCAGCAACCAGATGACCAATAACCTGTAAATTCACCCGAGGTGGCGCTGTCTCGACATATTTTCAGTGCTTTTACCGGTCAAACAAAATGCATTCCGCAGGTGATCGTACCGACATTGGTACTCCATCCAATTGCGTTTTGAAGCTTCAAGTTGCGCGGCGGTATTCACTAAAGTTCATCTATCTGGGGCTCACTGCACTACAGTTGAACATAATCTGCTGAAATTCAAAAAAGAAATAATAGTAATACTCCAGCGGCAGCACCATTTTGGTATGCAGCCGCTATGTTGTCCCAGGAGAGCACAAGTGCTGTGCAATCGCCGGGTAGCCCAAGTCTAGACAGGACTAGTCGAAATGAAGAGGCTGGATTTGAAACACGGTCTGTAATTTCGACCCACAACCTCCCAATCATCCTGAGCTTCTAAGCCAAATTGAACTTCCGGAAGCAGCTTTCTACGACGTGACAGAAGTTTAACCTTGTTCCTAAAGAGAGACTGACAACAGGAATTCAATTGACGTCGGTCAACAACCATATCATGCAAAGGAAGGCATGTAAAACTCTGCGACCGTTGCGAGATGCTTCAGGGCTACGAATAAATGCAGTCACATTTCATCATTTTACACAAAAGTTTTCTTTGTTCAAACCAGGTTCTCATGAATCTTGGATGTGCGCCTACGAGTCGGCCTTGGTTACTGCTCACCCAGATGTCGTCTAATTTCGATCGAGTTTCTGAAAGAGACTGCAAGTTTATATCAGAAGGCCCGGACTCTGTACGTGGATTTATCTTTCTGTGATTTTGAAAAGAGCTTGTATTTGTCGCAATCGAAACATCAACTTAATCATTGCAAGCTACTTAGAATGCATGAGTAGGTGATCAAGTGGATCAATTTAGGTATTCAGTTCAGCATGTTATCTAGTTTTCGAAATTTTCCGTAACTACATCGGTGACTGTGGCGAGGCGAGTTATCGCAATGCCTTTAAAGTAGTATTTTTTTTCATGTGGCATTGGTCATGTATCGCGGCGCTGTGTATGTGCTCCAGTTATCCCTTTTGGGGCAGATACTTTTGGATAACATCATGTTGCAACGTGGCAACGCAATAAAAACAAGCTTATGAAGGAAACTACTCACGAGGTTGCTCAAAACTCTTCAATAGCCCACTACCGGTTGCACCTTTTTCGGGGATCGTCACGTAAGCACAGTCCCGAGTTTCCGTCAACATTACGTTCTACTTGAACTCAAATTGGGCTGTTTTCTAGAAATGCACTCATTGGCAAACCAATTTGGTTTTTTACAGGAGACTCAAGTGAATCTCTCGTTTTTAGTGTTCTACAACTTAATGTGCTGCACGCATACACTCGTTTGCGAATCTCATAAATAAGAGATTCCCTTGAGTCCCTTCTGAAACCAAAATTAGTTTTCAAATGAGTGTGTATTTGCTTATTTCGTGCAATTTCTTTTCAAGTAGAACATAAGGTTGACGGATACTCGGTGACTGTGCCTACCTGACGATCCCCATGGAGGGCGAAACCGGTTGTGGGCGGTCGAAGAGTTTTCAGCAAACTTGTGAGTATTTTCCTTCATGAAAATATACTGTGATATCTCGAATATCGTGCCAACTGAAACATGAGGCGTCCTGTGTGCAGCACATTCAGTTGTAGAATATCATAAACGAGAGTTTCACTTGAGTCTCTCGTGAAAACCAAATTGAGTTGCAAATGAGTTAACTTCTAAAAAAACAACCTTACATGTGAAATCACACTGTTTATTCGTACATCACACTGCGTTTAAATTGGCGTGAGCTTTGCAACATTTGACATCATCCGCTCTCTCCTGTCCTATACATTGTACAGTGGTTCGGCAGTGAAACGGTAGACAAAGTTCAGTTACTTGATATCACTGCGGTGATTAGGTGACATACGAACCTTTGTGAATACGAACAAGTTTTTGTTTGGTGACAGGACTTGTTCCAACCAAAGTCCAAGTTGATGCTACCTGTAGTCAGCCGCGTAAAACGTGTTTTCCCCTTATTCTCACATCCGCT